ACCAAAAAAAAAGGGGTTTTATATCTCATAAACTGTGCATTATTCAAAGCGTTCCAGATATACATAAAAAATTCTGAAAATCCTATTAGATTCAAGCAGTTTTTACTAAACCTTGCACTAGCATGGATTAATGGGAGTGAAGAGGAACAACAATCAAGATCGGCTGCTCAATGTGATAAAAGATCGCCGAGGTTTGATCCACCAGGCAGACTTACTACGAACATGAGAAAACATAGAATAACACGTATTAGTGGTAATGGGAAAATTCAGAACCCACGAAGGGCCTGTAAAGTCTGCACTGCCGCCAAGAAAAGAAGTTCCACTGCATACATGTGTTCTTCCTGCAACATTTCTCTGCATGTTGGAAAATGTTTTCAGAATTATCATACTAAAATGAACTATGGATCCTAAGGAGTTAAATTTTTTAAATAAAACGTTTTAGTACTAATTAAAAAATATAATTGGAATAAACTGGAATAAAAATAGTGTAACAGTTATTTTAGTGCTTTCTTTAATAATAATTATATACCAACTACTTATGTTTTGAAAAATTGCGTAAATATCACCGTTGGCGAGCAGTAGAACCTGCGTGAACCGGCAGCAGCATAACGCCGCTTTGATAAATGCGCGGCCCACAAAGTGTTAAATATAAACTAAAGAAATAAAAAAGTGTGATATTTGGCCATTTATTGGTTACGTCCAGCTAACAGAAAAGTATCTATGCTTTTTGCAATGTTAGCTGATCTGTACATAAGCTTCGAAAAAAGTTCCAAAAATTTTCCAAGTATAAGTGGAAATACATGCTAACTGCTTTTTATTTATGTGAAAGTTGATTATACTCGTCATTTGTATTTTTCAGAAACCGACTGTCAAACAGCTCTCACGTTTCAGATCAAGTATTTAAATTTTTTGCTGATATATATAGTACATATTCTGAAAAAAAATTGAAGAATAATTAAATAAGAGTGTAGAAGTTAAAAATGATTTATGAGTTCTTTATTTTTTCTTTTACCAGAAAGCAAAAATACTGTGCATTTCAGTAGAAACCTTGGTATTTTTCCATTTTGGTTAAAAATTTCTGAATTTTGAATTTTTCTTAGCTATGAAAATATACAACTATATGTGTATATGCACTACGTGAAACCTTGGGTTTTTTACAAGCATGCTTCTACTTGCTATAAAAAAATATGTTATATAAAAGAAAAAACAAATGTTTTGAGTCGTATTGCAAGCAACTGAAACTGCGGATTTTATTAATCAAACAATCTTTAGCTTCAGTGTGCTTTCAGCTGTATACAAGAGTGGTCTAAATAATATGATGAAAAAAATTTGATCATCAAATTTGTGTGTTTTCCTCATGAATGCATTTCTGCTAATCTATCTAAGCAACAGTTATATTATAAAAGTTTATATATCTCAGCTGCATTTCTATTAATACATCTAAGCAAGTATAATATGATAAAAATTTATATATGGAAATTTTGTATGGCTTTTATATTTATTTGAAAATTTCTTAATATGAAATTTTTAAACTTCCGTAATGTCATTAAATATTGTCATATTTGTACTTAAATAACGTTAAAATCTGATACGAACTTTGTGAAAAACTTGAGACATAGAAAACTTTTATTGCAACAGTGATTGAATGAGAAGTTTAAAAATTTTGAAGTTTTTCTGTTTCCAAGGTGGTCTGATTTTTACATTGCTTTTGATAATTTCATTCAGTTTTTTAGTTAAATGGCAACATTTGAATCTGTTAAAAGGCTTTTTAGTGCAAGAAATGCAGGATACGGATGCTATGTAAGAAGAATATAGAAAATATTCAAAGATATGCCAATAAACAGAACTGTAGACTATGAGGAACATACAATCCACATATCAGTATTTAGTATCCTGCATTCATGTTATCAGTATTAGTACTAGGCTTCATGCAATATCTGTACCAGTACTGATAACATGTCTTGATGCAATGTCTGCAGATCCAAAATTTTATTGCCTAGTACCTCTCCTAAACTCCAAAATTTTCCCATCCCTAAATTTTGCTGCTCCTTATTGCTCTAAATTCTAAAAACTTTGCTTCTCCTAAATTCTGGCACCCAGTGTGATGGTACAGGTTCTAACACTAGCCCTGCATGCTGTTCAGCAAAGTGTTTTTATTGAATGTTATATTAATGTAAGAAAATTGTTCCTTTTGTTTTGTATTTTTATTAAGAATGTAGCTTTAAAATATTAAAAATACCACTTTATAATTTTGTAGTACATGTCACAATATCCTAGGTTTATTAAATAGAACTTAATTTCTTGTCTGTACATTTTTTCCTTATTGTGTGAGTCATGAATTTCCAATCTAATTAAAGATAATATTAAAAAAAACACAATTTTATAAAATGTATTCTTAAATAGTCCTTATTTTAAAGTTTATATTCTTTATTACTAATAGAATTCCTATGTGGCCTTTTAGTAAAGCTTACTCTGTAATCCATCAAGTAAGTGTGTGATTCCTGCATTTCAAAATTGAGGAAATTTTGAATACATTTATCTCAAAATTTGATTTTTCAAGTTATGCCAGACTTGTTACTGCAGCCAATTAAAGGTATAGGAAAAGGATAACAAGGATTAAATGCTGAAAAATTCTTTGAAGTGGTATCAGATCATTTCTCATTGCAGCCTTTCCTACCAGTACAGTCAAAAGTCGTTAATCCAGACTTGTCGGGACTTCGGCGATTCCAGATTATCGATATTTCCGGATTATAGATCATCAGTTTAAATCTCGTAAGAAGGCATGCAGAAATTCTAAAATTAAAAATGTGAAACCGTAATTTATGAAATAAAGAACAATTATGATCTAAAGGTCTAAAGTTGTGTAAACCTTGTATGTAAATCTTCACTTAATTAACTAAAATTGATTTCGTTTAACTATCTATCCTAGTTTAGTCATTGTTTTTTTTTTTCTGTCATGCAGTGGAACCTCGAGATACGAGTTTAATTCATTCCAGCATTGAGCTCGTAAAGCGAATTTCACGTATCTAGAAATAAACTTCCCCATTGAAAATAATGGAAATCCAGTTAATCCATTCTACATCCCCAAAAATATCAACTTAAAAAATCAATTTCTCTAATAAATAACACTGGTAAATAATATAACTGTAGTTTACCTTTATGATAGCTTCGGACACCGACCTTTTAACTGCTTCTCGTAAATCCACACCAACAACAGCTTCTAGGAGTTTTGGACAGTGCTTGGAAGTAATGGTAACTCCTTTGGCTACATCAAGTTAATTTCTTCCTTCTTCAGAATAGTGCAGATCATTGATGTCAAACGGCCATAAGTCTTCGCTAATTCCGTCACTCTTACACCCATGCTTATGTTCTATGATTTCTTTCTTAATTTCAACGGCCATGGCTTCCTTCTTTTTCTTTTCAGCAACAGTCTTCTTGGGAGGTATCGTAAAAGAATTATTTTTGCTTAAAATGTAAAAAACAATAGTAGTTTAACAACTTAGTAGTTTAACTCACAACTGCACAAACACGTAGATCAAAGAACTCTGAGTGATCTGACGAGGGGATTTCCTGATTCGAGCCGAATCAGGAAATGGCGCCATGCATACCAACAGCCTGGCTAATTCATTGCTCGTATTTAGAGACAAATTTTTCACTCCTACTTTTTTTGTATTTCGAATTTCTCGTATATAGAGGTGCTCATATCTCGAGGTTTCAATGTATTATTATTTCATAACTGTCAACTCTCCTATTTTTTATCATATCTCCTAAACTTCTGCAATGAAAAGTATTACTAAAATGAAACCGCAATTAACAAAGCAACAACCTTATGTTTAGGGTAGATATTAGAAAAGACTGTATCAATTTTGAGAGAAAGCGGGTACATGTCGCTCTTCATCAGGAGAAAAAAAATCTGCAATGAAGGGAGACTATGGTTGTATTTATACCCAAAAGGCGTAAAGCAAATGAGAAGATAGGGCAATCTATCGGTAAAAATAGTAACAAAAATTGAAAAATTAATTTAATGGAATTTTAAAAGCATTAGGAAAATCTTGATTAGAATTAGTAACTAACTAAACAAGTTATATTTTTATTAATGTGAAAATCTTCAAGAAAATCCAATTCATCAATGGAAGATAATAATTTTTGGATACTTTTTGCAAACCCATAGTCAAAATTGTGATTAAATTTCCAACTATGGTTAGCTATCGAATTGTTAATTTCATCTTTTTGGGCATAAGATGATGCAAAACATTAACACTCTTTTTGTTTGGCCAATATATCTCAAATCTTGACTTTTTGTTTCACCTTTTTGACAAAATTAGTAAGTTTTCAGTGGCTAATCATAATTGGAAATTTAATCACAATTTTGACTTTTCGATCTGTGAAAATTATCTTCTTTGGTGAATTCCCAAATATTTAATCATTCTCAAATATTTTAGAAAATTAAAGATTTTGTCATTCCCAAATATGTATCGTGTTTAGTTAATGACTTTAATTTCACTCCAGTCTTTCTAACGATTTAAAAATTTAACTTAATTTTTCAATTTTCGTTACTATTTCTGCCAACAGATGGTGCCACTTTCTCATTCGCTTTATTCCTCTTAGGTATTAATACAATCGTGACTTTCCCTTTGTTTCAGATTTCTTTGCTTCTTATGAGGAGGGACCTTTACCTGTTTGCTTTCGAAATTGATAGATTCTTGATTAAAAATCCAAGCCAAACACAAGGTTGCTACTTTGCTAACTGAATGTTTTACTTGTGGTGTTTCTGATCTGTCTCCTGTGATGATTTTATCAGAATTTAACCTGATTGCATACTAAAGACATCTATAGTAATCAAAGGTTTTGGAATATTGTAATTGAATTAGTAGAAATTTCTCATAATATTTGTCTCCTATTAAATATTTTGATTTGCAAAAATTTTTTCTGTTTGCATATGTCTTATTAAGTCATGCTGGTGCATGTAATTTATGATGCATTTTAATTCTGTGTTTCAGGCTTACAAAAGTCTGGAGTGTCTCGCCGCTGCAAATCTCAAATGCAGTTTTGATGTGATTGATGTTTCGGTGCCTTGAAAATGGAAAATGTTCAATAAATTAGTTCATCTCAGTGAACAAATATTTTGTTAGTACTATTGAATGAATCAATGGTTGAATTCCAAATTTTGTTTTGTATTTTTATTGTATTTTATAAAATTAATCTGATAAATAAAAGATTGTATTTTTAGATGCTTATTACTTCTCTGCCTCCCATATTTCCCCTATTTCTTGATGTATTTACCCCATCTCTAGCTGTATCTGTGCATTGGGAGTGATTGGTCCCAAGAGAAACTAGCTGCCTTCACAGAGACCAGTGGAGTTTGAGACTACAGAGACTTTAAATGATTCAGCCGAATTTGATTCAAAGCGTTTAATTGAATGCAGTGCTGCATTCAATTAAAAATTGAAGGGCAGATGGTATGGTGGTTAGCAACATTGATTGTCGTGCCAGTGGACACGGGTTTGAATCCCACAGAAGGCATGTATGCTTGTTAAGTATAACTTTTGCATCCGACAGAAATATAATTGTAACACCAGTGGTCTTCCTATACTTGTACTTAAAATCTTACTTTGGTTGCTTAGGTCAGGAGGCTATCTGTTGGAAGAATGTCCTCAACACTAAACTGCTTAGAAAGATGAAATTAATTTAAAATTATTCAGAATCACATCTGATATTTTATTTAAGCATTTGGAATTCTGCATACTGGATTTTTAAAAAAATTCATGGCAGTAGTAAATTGGAGTGCCAAAATAATTAAGCACACTTTAGATGCACTTATATTTATTTATATGAACTAATATACTAGACTGAATTATATTAATGTAAGGATATTGTTACAAATTTTTTATGTACGTAAATAATTTTGAAGAAATTATAAACCCAAAGGGGCTTTGTCTTTGAAGGAGTATTGCTTTCGTTTTGCGATTTTGCGTTGAAAACTTTAAAAAGGCTGTATCACTTTTCAAATCGTTGCCACCAAATATTATCGCCCTGCATTTTAATTGAAGAAATTAAATAATGAAGAATCTGCGTAAATGTATCTATGTTTCTCACACTGTGATAAAACAACGGTATCTAGAGCCATCCAATTTTGAATGATGTAATCCTGTGAATATGGGCATCTGAAAGCTCAAATTTGAAATTTAGAACTTGTTTTATTATTGATTTCCTATTTTGTAAAACTTTAACGAATTTTTGAGTAGCAAACTCAACTATTTGAAAGCGAGCAATGGCAACACTCTACGGGGGGGGGGAGACTTTTTTATCTCCAGCGCGCGGAACTGTGTATCGGAAATTCTAAAGATAGGCTCAATTTAAAATTATTTTGCGACATTATTGCACTGAAATTTATGGCTTAAATGCAAAGAACGTGATATTTAATAAATAAAGTAATACACAAAATGTTAAAAAAAACGCCCCTTTGGATGTAATTTAAAATCTGAAACCTTTCAAATTTGTTTTATATTTTTATGTAAATTATAGTATCTCTTGTGTAATGTAACCTAAAATACCTCAGAAAGTGGCTCATAGCTGAAAAAATAGGAAGTCTATTTAACATTGAGGTAAATGGCTTATGGTGAAATAGCGCCATAAGCCATCATTATGGTGAAATAGCGCCAAGCTGTCAATCGTTTTGGCATGTAATTTTTGTTGCCGAATTTTGCGAAAAATCGCCAAACTTGGTGACAATTTGGTCCGATCTCCATGTAACTGTAACTGTACCAGCCTTAAATTATGTATGCCTCCCAGCAATTTCGAGGTGGACTGAGGAAAACTATGCAAGACCAGAAAGAACATCAGTCTAAGTTTAGTTCAGGGTTCAGCTCAAAGTATTGAGAATTCAAAGTACTGAGATATCTTTTTGACATGTTATGCATTGTCTTGTGTTCATCGTTTTTAGCAGTTTGAAGTGGTTAACGACTGATTGTGCTCTGTCGTGCTGAGAAGAGCTGTATGAGTACTTTTTTGTGAAAATTCCAGAACTGTGAAGTATTTTGGGCTGGGCAGGGGGAGGAATAAATTTCTTCAAGCTTTTATCGTTTCTGTGGGCTTTGAATCCATTACAAACCCATACCCACATAACAATGTCAATGAATCATATGTATGATAGCAAAAGCAGTTCTAGGTTAATTGCTGGTGGATCTATGGTATACAGTCTTTTTATCCTATCATTTTCTTGATAGTACGTTGCAGTCCGCCAATGGTCTAGCAGTAAAGTTGATGACTACTTAGTTCGATTTCAGGCAAATGGGCTGGCAGCATGAGTCTTTCATTCAATAATAGGTTCTACATTTAAGCAGAAGCTCACATTTCTTTCAACTGGTCCCGCATATGCTCTACTGAGTATACGTCCAGAGAAGCTGATATGCAGTGAAAGTCTCTGAACATGATATAGGCAGTCCTGGGCAGGGCCAACCATGTGCAGCTAAACATTATTTTGCTGTAATATCGCAACTAGAATCTTGTCTAGGCTATAGGTTGCCATCCAAACACACTGATGGGCTGCACGCACTGCTACCTGTGTTCTGTGTGCCATTACCAAACAAAAAGCAAAGAGGTTTTTGTAGAGAATGGCTTCACAGACGATAATGCCTGTAGTGGTTAGGATTATGCCAATGACTATAGGAGCTTCACACCTGCATATATGTTGACCATCTGTGTGCAAAATCGCCAAGCACCATTCTGTGGCATTTTCTGTCATGTTTGCACGTCATCACACATTCTGAACTAGTGCCGCATCAAACTCGAATTGGAAGTATGACAGCCTGTACTCTACCTAGTTGTATAGTTTTGTGACTGTTTTGTATTCTTTCAATATAAATAGTATTATAATATAAATAATAGTAATATAAATAATAGTCAGTGAGTATAAAAACATTTAGTTTCTTCACGCTTGTTTAATAACGGTGGCTGTTGGCCCACCAGCGGCCGAACGGTAAAATCGCTGAACACTGGAAGCTCAACTTGGGTTTGATTTCAGGCGAACGGGCAGCTTTCGTGGACTTCATCATGATTTACCCTTTAGGTATAAGCGAATTTCCCTTAGAAAGTCCTCCACGAAGGTATTTCTTTAGGCAGATAGCCCTTGTGTACTTTGTCATAATCAAATAAACTAAAACTGAATGAAACTGCAGCTGTTAAATGCTGCATTATGTCAGAGCTGTCAGATTCTTTGCAAAAGTATAGGTTTTTAAATCTGAGAAGCATAAGGATTGGTGGCATGTACTGCTGATTTTTCGAATGCGATTTCACTTATACGTGTTATCTTAATTATTTCCATTTAATTTGTTAAACACGAGAATTTCAATTATACCCGGTACGCTGCTGAGCATCGGCGGCATTGCGATAGTTCACTTAAATAGCTGGTTTGAAAATTCATTCATTAAAGAAGTCAAACATAGTCACTATAGTGTCTACAGCTCTCTATATCAAAGAAGACTTTTTTTAGGGGGGGGTGTCTGTGCTTGTAGTCTTGCTTCACTTGCAGATGTATGCTGATCTGTGTTTTAAGCGTTCTTCATTTTTTTGCTTGCTATTGATATTTTTCCAGAACTAGAACAGTTTTGGTATATCTGTGACATTTTGGTTGATGAAAACAAAGATTTGCTTCCTTGGACGAAGAGGGACTTGTCTTTTCGGCCTCTTCTGATCTGGTTTGATAATAAAGTACGAAATCCATGTTTATCAAACGTGGATGAAACATGTAGCATTCGTTTTCACACATTTTTGTAAGGGGGGAGCAGACACATTTTTAATGTAAAGCTTTACCTGATGTTTCAGTTTGTATCAAACTCGTCATAACCGCTGACTTTAAAAAATAAAGTTGTGCCTAGAAGGTGTTGAGGGTTTACCTTCTAATTACCTGTTGTAATCAGGGGGAAAATAACAGGCGTTTACTTTTCAACTGACTCAACTCGATTTATATTTACCTTTCATTAAAGCAGAAAGTAGTGTAAATTTAAGATTTTCTTTTCGTTTTTATCTCCTACTTACTTTTTTGTGAGCTATCAGGTTTTTTATGTGTAGTCCCTATGCAAGTAAACAGTTTCAGATTGGATAAAAAGCTTTATTTTCTTCTCAGCATGCAATAGTTCAGGGGCTTGTGTATGTTGCTAGTTTTCTTGGACTTGCCTTCTTATCGCATGACATTCTGCATAGCCAGGACAAGAAAACAAGCATGTGTATTGATTCTTCATCTAACCTTGAATAATATGATTGCAGCGAGTAACATCTCACTACGATTGTCACCATCTTCTCATCATTCTGTTCCCTTATGTTATCGTTAATGCATCGAATATTCTTACTCTTGCAGTCTGCTCATCTTGCGATCGTCTGTTTACAATTGTCTCAGTGAACAATTGAAGTTGCGCTGAACGTGCTTAACGGTAGAAAGAAACAAAATAAAGGGGTCTGATTCTTTTAAGCTAATCGGAACAATTGTCGGATGTATTCGAATTGTGCGTTATGCTTCACGATTTCGTAATAAAGTTAATCCCTCCAAACATCTCCGAACTTATTTTCTTCTTCGTTGGGTTCAATGTCCCACTGCAATCAACTAGCTTTTCATGTAGTATTTTGAAGCATTCAGGCATGGATCGATTGGACTCTCTCGAACATCTCTTTACTTGAGATATTAGCATAAACGAGGACAAATCATGACATTCACTATTCTTCCTTTGCGACGTAAATTGGCTGGCACGCGTTGTGGAAGGGGCCACTTTATTTGGCGAGAAATTACGAGTTGTGGCGCATTTTTATTATCTGGAAAAGCAGTTTTTTAACCGAATTCTCAAAACGGAAAAAGCTTTTGCGTGTAAATTAATAAGGATGAATGTTACAAAATTAAGAAGATAAAGGTGGAAAATAATTGCTTGTTCTGTAGTGCATAAATATAGGAATAAAATAAATACGTAAATAAAGGAACAAAATTAAGAATACGAAAAAAGTATTTTGCTAGAGTTGAATGCCGATTATATGAAGTTTGTTTGCTGTGACTACGGCAAAGCATCATATATTTAGTATTTGCGGTACTTTTCCGTTTCGCCGGCGCAAATCTCGCCAAGCAGACTGTATTGGCGACAACATATATTATACACATAAAAAATGTTAATTCTAAGAATTTTTTAATTTTAATATCGTTTAAAATTTTGTTAAAACCAACAAATAAACACAAATTTGTAAAAAGACAATAATT